GTGTGACTAGAAGCAGGAGGCTATGCTTTCTCCATTCCAGAGTTGTGCCCATGTGTGCTTCAGAAATGGAGGAAGGGAGAAACCTGGGAACTGAATGCCGTGCACTGGCCTCCCAATTGGACCACTCCAGGCCTCAGCTCCCGCACAGACCCACTGTCACCTGTTCGAGCCCCCTGTGGTACTGAGGCAGGCAGGGACCACCCAAAAAGGAATAAAACTATCAAATTCTGGGAAGGAGGCCCTGCAGGAACCATTTTTTCCCCCTGCTTTCAGAGCAAAACCAAACAAGAACATAAACAGGGACCCAGGGCTGACACACAACCAGAGTTAAAAATACAATAGATACAGACACATCCCACTTTCATCCCACATGGCCAGGAGGCAAGCCAGGATCAGCCTCCTGGAAGCCTGCCTTTGCCTAGGCATCCACGCTGAGCAATAAACTGCCTGCGACAGAGCTCAGACGCTGGCCAGACACTCTGCAAGCCTGAATCCTTCAGCAGGAACATTTTCTCGATCAGCTACCCTTTCCCCTCTGTTGGGAGAATGCTGGCCTGAGCTGCCCTTTGTCAGAGCTGCCACTCCTTTCTAGCTGGAGCAGAAGTGCCATTAAAGCCTTGCCTGTGCCTCTGTGTCCTCCGGGTATCTGGACCCAAGAACTTGGGTCTGCTAATGGCATGACAGCTGCGTGGCCCTAATGCCTGCCTGCTCACCCACCCAGCTCCTTTTCCTGTCCTATCCTCCAGCCCAGAGGCCCAACCTCTTGCCCTCTGACTGGTGGAAGGGGTCCACCAAGGTTACACTGAACCAGCCTGCATTTAGTTAGGACCTGGGCTCTCTCTGTTCTAAAATCCCTCCAAATGACATACACCTGCAGTCCCAGGTACTTGGGAGGCTGACCCAGCAAAATAGCTTGAGCCTAGATGTTCTTGACCACTCTGGGGTATACAAAAAGACTCCATCTCAAACAAAACAGGAGGCCAGACAGTACAAACCAATGGTATCTTGCAGTGGAACAGTACTCAGCGATAAAAAGGAACAGACTACTCACACACTCAAAGAAAAGACTCACCCTCCTGGGGCTCAGTGGTACTTGCCTAGCATGTTCAAGGCCTTGAGTTTTATTTCCAATATTGCTCCCACCCCAAATATAGCTATATATTTAATTACCCAGGCATGGTGGCAACACCTAAAATCCCAGGAGGATCAGAAGTTTGAAGACCAGCATGGACTACATAACAAGTTCAAGGCCAGCCTGGGACACAGTGCAAGACCTTCTTGCTAGAGAGAGACAGGGTAATTTCAAAAGCAAGCTCAACACAAGAAAGCACACACAAAGTATGTACTATATGATTCCACTAATACAAACTTGTAGAAAAATGCAAGCTGGCCTTAGTGACAGAAAGTGAATGATTCCTTACTTGGGGCTGGTGGGGAAAGGAGACTGAATGAACCACCCACTGTAGCAAGTCTTAGGTTCCTGACCCTCAGAAACTACGAGATAATAAGTGCTTGCCACTTGCTGTTCAAAGCCACTAAGTTTCGGAGCAATTTGCTACTTAACAGTAAGTTTGTGAACCTCACAGACACAAAAATCTTAGAAGCAGGGTATTAATAAGTATTAGTAAATACTGGTGATGATGTGGAAAAATTAGAACTTGGGTTCACTGTTGGTGGGCATGTAAAATGGTGTGACTGTTTTGGAAGATACTACAGTGGTTCTATTAAAAAATAATAATTTTTTTGTGTTTCAGGGACTGAACTTGGGACCTCGAGCTTGCAAGGCAGGCAGCTGCACCACTAAGCTAAATCCCTGGCCCTCCTCAAGAAAATTAAATAGAGGGCTCAGGAATGTAGCTCAGTGGAACAGCATCTACCTGGCAAGCACAAGTCCCTGAGTATGATTCCTGGTACAGGGGAAAAAAAGATAAACAGAATTACCATATGACTCAGCAATCTCATTCTGGATTTATACACAAAAGAACTGCCATTCAGGCACCCAAAGGCCACTGCAGCCATGGTCCGAGGGGGCCTGGTTACTGCTCCTGATGACAACAGACTTTGACATCATCCACATGTTGCTAGCTTTACTACTGCAGCCTGCAGAATGCAAGAGTTGTGGGGTCAGGGAGGCCTCTACCCAGATTCCAAAGGAAGGCCTACGAAGTCCAGCAAGGAGGCCCTGAGAGGAGTGCTATGAATGAAGCCAAAGGTGTTGTGGAGAACCTAAGAATGTGGAATGTGGGCCAAGGAAAGCTGCAGGCTGTGAGTGGAGCCAGCTGAAGAGGAAGGCCAGCCAAGGCCACCCACACCCTCTGGATTTTACACTTAACACCATGGATCCCCTGATGATGCCAGACCTTAAAGACTTAACATTTGCCTTGCTGGCTTTTGATCTTGCTTTGGTCCTATTCTTTTTGATCTCCTTATTCCTCCCTTTTGGAATGGGAGTGCTTACCCTGCGTACCTTGGCGTTATGGAACTTGTTTTAGTTTTTTGTTTGTTTGTTTTTGTTTTTTGTTTTTTTGGTGTGTTTTTTTTTTTTTTTTTTTTTTTT